TTCTGCGGGGCTCAAGTTGTGCCCGAAGCGGCGGGAAGCCTCTGGGTTGGCAGTTGAGCAGCGCAGCGGGGCGAGCCGTGGGCGCAACGGCGAGTGGCAGCAGCGTGTGGCTGCATTCGTGCACACTCACCCGGCTGTGCCGCACGCTGCGCGTCCCTCCCTCGTTCTCTGACCACCCCACGACCCGGGCCCCTCTCCCCTCCCGCAGGTGTTCAAGGCGAACAGCGCCATCCTCAACACGCTCCTCACCATCCTGAACGAGCGCCAGTTTGACAACGGGACGTCGCGGCTCAGGGTGCGCCCCCTCCCTCGGCCCCTCCCAACCGCTCCCAATCGCTCCCGAGCCTGCGGCCCCGCCACGACCCCCTCAATGCTGCCTGCGAAGCTCGCTGGCACACACAAGTTCTCTTCAGCGAAGTGCGCGCACCTCCGCATGCACCGCCTGCCGACTGTTGTTGCGACGACGCGGTGAGCCGCCGCGTGACGCGGCCTGACGTCACCGCCGCGCCCACAGGTGCCGCTGGTGACGCTGGTGGGCGCCAGCAACGAGCTGCCGGAGAGTGAGGAGCTGGACGCTCTCTATGACAGGTTCCTGGTCCGGAAAAGGGTGGGCCAGGTCTCGGCGGCAGGTGGGTGGTGGTTGGAACGAAGTTTGGGGGCGGGTGGGCCAGGTCTCGGCGGCAGGTGGGCGCTGAATCAGAGGGACACGTCCGGGGGCGGGTCAGGCGGGGCGCGGCGGCAGGGGGCTGCTGAGCGAGTTTCAAGGTCTGGGGGTGGTGGGGCGGGGCGCGGCGGCGGATGGGTGCTGGTCGGAATGGGGTTATGCAGGGCGCGGACCGGGCGGCGCGGCGACGGGCGGGTCCCGACCTCCAAGCAGGCCAGCAGCAGCTTGGAGCGCTTCTCAGTTGCAGATGGGTGCTGGTCGAGAACCATTTGGGCTTCAATGCCGTGCATCAGACACCTCGCCAATTCGATCGGTGGTGCAGCTGCCATGAAGCTACAATGCGCCTGATCGCCACCAGCAAAACGAACCCTCACGCATCTCTGTGCTGACTCGCGCCTCGCGCCCGCCGCACGTCGCCGCCCAGGCCTGACGCAGCTGCTCGATTACTACGCCGGCAGCGACGGCCCCGACGGCCTCAACGGCGGCATCGGCGCGAGCGTGCGCGCCGGCAGCGGCGGCGCGGCGGGGGTGGCGGTGGCGATCGACCCGTCCCGGCGGCTGACGCTTAGGGAGATCGCCTCTGTGCGGCAGGAGGCGGTGCGGCGCGTGAAAGTGCCGCAGCACGTTATCCAGCTGGTGGCAGACCTGAGGTGGGTTTTGCTTTTTTGTGGGGTGGAGATCAGGGTGGTGGCGGGTTGATGAATCATATGTAATCCGAGTCGCGGAGGGGAGCGTAGCCCACATAGCTGCGTGTGAAGGGTGGAGTTGGGAGGCTGCTTTATGTTCCCGATGCAAGGGGCCAGGCGTTAGAAGAGGGCGTGTGCCAAGCGCGCGACAGTGCAGGAGCGCAGTTAAAGTTCCGGCTTGTCTCCCTGATGATCCTCCCCGTCGCAGCCGGTCACCTCCACCTCGCAGCGCAGCCCCCCAACCGCAACCAACCCTGATCCTTACCCCACCCCCCAAAATGACGTCATCGTCCCTCACCCCAACCCCCCTCCTCACAGGACATACCTACAGGAGAAGATAGAGCCGCCGGTGTACGTGTCGGACCGACGCCTGGTCAAGGCAGTGGCCCTCATGCAGGTTTGGGGGTGGTGGGGCGGTGAGGGGGTAGGTAAAGGGTCTGATGAGTGGGTGGGGGTGAGGTGGGTGGGGTGGAAGGGCGGGTGCGTGAGGATGTGCGCGCGTGTTCGCATGCACGGGAAGGAATGGGTTGGGAGGTGTGCACGGTTTTGTAGGGCCGGTTGTTGACGCGGCAAATTGTCGCGGCACTCAACGGGCGCGCGACCATCTGCAACCCCAAATCGACGCGCCCCCCGCACATACACACACGCCGAAGCGCCCATCGACCGCCCCACCACACCACCGTCCTTCAGGCCACCCCCGGCCCCAGACCTGTCCCGACCACCCTCACCCCTCTCCCCCTGACAATCACCCCCTGTGCGCCGCAGGTCGCGGCGTACTGCAACGGGCGGGACACCGTCACCGAGTACGACTGCCTGCTGCTGGAGCACGTGCTGTGGTCCACCCCCGAGGTGGCCCCCAAGATTGCGGACTGGCTGCTCGCGTCACTGGCGGTGGACGACGGCATGAAGCAGGTGTGTGTGTGTGTGTGTGTGTGTG